CGCCGAAGCGCCAATCTCGTGTCGAGGCTCGGGAATATTAACCAGATTCCTCTCTCGACGCCGATGCCGGCGACGCAGCACTCTTTCGCCCGCCGCCGAGGGAGTGTGCGCCCCATCCCGCCCCGACTGCCCCGCACCAGACGCCGATCTTGGCTCATTCGTGTCTTTCGCTCTTACAGGCCTAACCTAGGGTTAGGAAGTATGCTTGCACGTGCCGTCACTTAACTCTTTTCGGCACGGCCTCTCTCGACGCCGATGCCGCCCACGCAGCACTCTTTCGCCCGCCGCCGAGGGAGTGTGCGCCCCATCCGCCCGACTGCCCCGCACCGCACGACGCTCTTGGCTCATTCGTGTCTTTCGCTTTTACAGGCCTTACTAGGGTAGGTTAATATGCTTGCACGTGCCGTCACTTAACTCTTTTGGGCACAGCCTCTCTCGATGCCGATGCCGGCGACGCAGCACTCTTTTGCCCGCCGCCGAGGGAGTGTGCGCCCTATCCCGCCACGACTGCCCGCACCGCACGCCGCTCTTGGCACATTCGTGTCTTTCACTCTTACAGGCCTTACCTAGGGTTAGGTTAGTATGCTTGCACGTGCCGTCACTTAACTCTTTTCGGCACGGCCTCTCTCGACGCCGATGCCGGCGACGCAGCACTCTTTCGCCCGCCGCCGAGCGAGTGTGCGCCCCATCCCGCCCGACTGCCCGCACCGCACGCCGCTCTTGGCTCATTCGTGTCTTTCGCTCTTACAGGCCTTACCCAGGGTTAGGTTAGTGTGCTTGCACGTGCGGGCTCTTGAAACTTTTTTAGTTTGGTTAGTTTGTACTGGTCGTATTGCGAAATTGTTCGATTGAATGGGCGGCGGCGACGCCCCCTTTTCGTATTGCGAAATGACACGTGGGCTTCGTCGCGGATGAGTGAGTAACGGCCAATTACGTGTCAACAATCGGCGCGAAACCAGCCAAGCGAGCGAGCGGCAATCACGTGGAAGATTTCGAAACGGGGCGCGCAAAGCAACGTCGCTATGAACGGGCTGGGTCGGTCGGGCTGAGGTACAAAGCGGATGCCGGGACTTGACCGGACTGGGCGAACGCTTGCCGCTTCACGCCGGCCGAAGCGAGCCGCGAGGCCCGCGCAGCTGCGGCAGTCCACGGATAAGGACCGGACGCAGGTCCGAGCTCACGCCGGCCGCCGTGAAGCGGCAAGCGTTCGCCCAGTCCGGTCAAGTCCCGCATCCGCTTTGTACCTCAGCCCGACCGACCCAGCCCTTAGAGCCAATCCTTTTCCCGAAGTTACGGATCT